CAAAATGGGAACTGTGATTACACACAATGGTCCTTAATGGGATGGGAGAAAAGGAAATGTCATTGCACTTAACAGGACACATCAGGAAACTTCTAAACATATGGTGCTTTGTGTGGTCTGTTTGCAACATAATTCATTCCACAGCATGTAGCGTTTATCCATTTTAGGGTGACATAAATAAAAAAAAAACATGCAGGTTCAATCCAGTATGAGAAAAATACAGAGAAACTCATTTAAACATATATATTCTAAACACCTAGTATCTTTTAAAAAACAACTAACAAAGAGAAAGCAGGAGAATACTGAGAAAAAGTGTTCCACTCACAGCAGTTTCTTGAGTCCAAGATCTCAGCTGGATGACATGGCTTTGCTGGAGTTCAGACCTTCGCCTGTCAGGAAACAGTGAAAAACACCAACACTGACTGAGCTGCTTTCACAGGTGGGGATGCTTTTGAAGTTGGCAATGTTGTGTAAAAACAGCAAAGCACTGGGGAACATCACAGATGCCTGTTCACAAATATAAAAAGTCTTCACGCAAGGTAACACACTGATAAAAAGCAATCGGATCCAAAATTAGGGCTAACTTTGTACTACTCATTGTCCAGGTGTAACAGACCCTGCACAGTTTGCTTTACTTCTAAAAATGACAGGCACAGAATTGGTGGATTAATTCAGGGTTAGAACAACTTGACTCTTTTTTTTTCATTTCTTCTTTCATAATTCTGTTCCCAGTGAATTCAGCTGAGTTGCCTAGCAACAAACTTAGAAATCTACCAAATACCTTGGCAGCTAAGATATATTTTTACAAAGCAATGGCAAAAAGTCTTTGAATCCTAAAAATATACAGTAGAATACCATATAACAAACAAAATGTTATTTAGACAGTGCCTGAACATTAAATACACTTAAAAATTACTTAACAGTAATTTTGTGAAATTTAAGCTCATTACTAGTCTGAATACCAATGTATGTTATTAGATAGGCATTATTAAGATCTAATAAAAATTGTATATATTTCCTTAAAATATTTTGACATGTTTTAGCATGTTATCAAACTTAGGTGTAGACAAAGTAATACAAGGTTGTTTACGTTGTGTGATTTTGTGGTGCCAGGTGTTGAGATTTAACAACCACCATGGATTTGCGGTGTCCAATAACAAAAAAAAAAGAGCTGGGCTACAGTTTTATTTTCTTCCTCTCTTGTCTTGGCTGGATGTGGTTGACGTTGCAGATCCTGTCTCTTCCCCAACTTTGGTCACATAAGTCTTCTTTCAACTCCTTCTCCTTCACCTCCCTCCAAAATATATGTCCTCCTCCCCCTTCAGTCTTCCTTTTGTCCCTCTCTCTGAAAGTGTTATTCTGGCAATGTCTTTAAACTTACTCGTACTGTGCCAGTCTTCTTTTTTGCACATGTTCATGACTTACTTTCTGCACTGGATGGCAACTTCATATGCTCGGATTATCTTGCAGTCTTTCACCCCCTTTCCAATTTCCTCACTATCATATAATCCTCTTGAGTTTTTTCTGCTTGTATTCTTGTACTGTACATGTTCAAGTGTCCTTTGCATGTCTGCAATACAGGTTTTTTATATAATCAGCACACTATCATCATAGTAGACCAAACTAAACCATCCTATCCCCCCCAGATTCAGTTTCAGTGTGCTCAGTTGATTCTTCGATAGCCATATCTACTGTACTAAGTAAACCAATGAGCCCATTGAGGCCTCGGTGACTGCTTCACTGTCCAGAACACATTGCATCATTTTATCTGTCATTTCACAGATGTCCTTTTCCCTGCTTGTGGAATGCATGCTCATGCATGCTCATCGTGCTTATCAGCTGGCCTTTGCTACTTTATCTAGCTTTTCTGCAGTACCCTCTTGGAAATTTCCTACAGAATCTGGATATTCTTCTTGAGTGTTGCCTATGGAATACATTCTAGCTAAGCCTGTTCCTTTGTTCCACATCATGACGATTATCAGCATGAAGGTTTTACAAATAAATGTTCTTCCTAATGTGAAGTTTCTTCATTTTTGTTTTGGCTTCGATCTGGCATTTGATCATTTGATATATACAGTAAAGGAAGTTGGCAGCTGTCAGTTTTATAAATGCCCAAACAAGTTTATTTTTTCATGATCAGAAAAAGTTATTTCTTTTTTGCGGTGAAAACGAAAGGTTATGTCACTTAAATACAAAGCGACATGAAATACATGAGAAGCACAAGAGATTCTCCATTACTATTCCTATGAAAAAAAACAAAGTTTTTCTTTTTTAAAACAGACATAGTAAACATAAAATAATTCTTAAAAATGATACAATGAATAACACTTTTTTTCCTATAAGATGTTATTTTTGGTGCATTTTAAAATCCCAGCCCTTTTTTAGTTTTCCCTTAAGGTGTCACGAGTAAGATGTCATTTTGAATGGAAAATGATGAAAACGATATTCTGACATGCCTTACTCAGTAAAATGTTTGTACTATTTCATTTATCTGTCATTTTCATTGTTGCATGTTAGTCAGACAAAAGAAAGCTGTATTCATATCCTACGCCTGTATTTGGTTTATTTTGATTATGTAAAGATGGCAAATAATTGGGAAAAATAAATACAATTTTCATCAAGCGCGGTTAGAAATGACACGTATTCCTTAGAAAAAGGAGGCTAAAGTGTACAAAGAAAGCTAGAGACATCCAGGAAGAGAGCCCTTAAAAGTTCTTGTTGAGAGCCTGCGGGTAGAGCACTTTTCTGCTAGCTCAATTGCAAACCAGTTTTATGCAGCGAATATAAAAAATATTTTACTGATTTTTTTCATCGTTATTAAAATTTGGATGGCTGATTAATATTTCAAAAACCTCTCGTCTCGGTAAAGAAGAGACGTTTTATTTTGCTAAACTGCATTATTAGCGTGCGGCTTCTCCACCCCCATGCTTTCATTAGTGGGAGAAAGTCGTCAGTGGTGTCTCAGCGTGACCCGTATACCTTCCTCCTCCGCATCAAGGTCACCTGTGGGTCGCTGGCTGTACTTTGCATACGTATCTCGTCGCACAGTTAAGCGAGTGCCCGTGACTCACACTAACAGATGAATGAAGGGAAGAGAGAACCTTTAAAGAGAGAACTAACCTGAGAAAAGCATTCAGTTCTCTAATTCATCTTTACTCCCGACAAATCGTCTCTCAAATCACAAATTAATCACAATTTAATTGGTGGTGCATCTAGAACTCCAATACATTTTCCTGACAAGCCACTCATTTAAATCCGCGCATTCACTTATTGTCTTATTTTGATTGTATCTGATTTTATCGCAAAAGAAAGTAAAATGTTGTTGATGTCGGATATTTTCTTTTTGCTTGAAAGGGTTACTTGGCAGTAATTAGGAGAGTATTGCAGGCATGCAATGACTTAGTCGTTACAGTAAACCAGAGTTATCCAGCGGACACAACAGTGGAATGTAAATGGAATATAAAGAGAAATTTAATCTTGTTTCCAGCTCATTTATTCAATTTCAAAGGTTCATCACTACTTTAATGGACCTCAAGTATGTATCTGATAAACAGAGGGTAATCTTTCACAGTCCAGATTAGAAAATCTATAAAACAAAATTTTAAATTGGAATTAGCTACTGAGGAATTCTCAGAAGAGAAAAAGTCTAATCTGAAAGTTTTTTTTTCTCCCCTCTGGCCTAGTGATACTGGGACATGCACAGATAGACATCAAATGTATTGTTGACAAAAACAAATGTCAATCACAAAAATGGCTGGAGTTTGTATTTTGGACAACAGATTATGTCCATTTAGAAATTAAATATGGATATACGGTATTATTGAAGAATTCATTATATTCTGCAGTGATAATGACCATAAAACTCATCCAAAAATCTTTTTCTGGCAAGAAATGGATAGTGATTTGCAATGTGTTTACAGACTCACAGGCTGGAGTTTTGTTTGCAAAGCATATCGAAAATTATAAAAAAACCTATATTCATAACGCCAATAATGTTCTTTCAAAAATGTATAATTCACAAAAAACACATTTGGACCAAAATTATTTTATCCATGCCAAGTTAAGGTTTTTTTAAGTTTAGTTTTTATAACAATTGCAGATATATAGATGAATAAACAGAATATACTGTACTACTCTCTGAAAATAATGTTTTTTTAAAGGCAAGGTCATGTGACTGGAATAAACAATGTACCGTATGTTTTTATGTAATATCTCCCTGTTATGAGAGGATGCCAAATAAGGAGATGTGCATTTCTCTCCTATGTGTGCCAACATAAATCCAGTAGATAATCTTTTGGCACCTATGCAAGAGAGCCTTACTCAAACATAAAGCTTTTCAACATAAAATACCAGCCGCTATGCTGCACTGGCTTAATAGAATTAGAATTACAAATGCTATTGGTGATTAACAAGCTTTCTTTTACGGCAAGAACTTTCTTTCCACACAGGTCGAAGGACATACTAGACATTTTCAAATCTATTTATTAACACCTGTAATGTTATACAAACAATTATTGTCTGTTTTGTGTGGACTAAGCATTTATTTTTATTGTGGTAAATTTAACTTTTGCAAAACTGCAGATAACTGTAGTTTTCTCTCTGCTGACTAGCTCTACTAACTGTAAATATGTTCTATGATGGATAATAATATGACTTTGTTATACTACTGGAAATGCCACATTGACACAAGAAGAAAACTTTTTCAGAAGGTTTTTAGTAGTAATTCTAAGACAAAAAGAAAGCAATCACAAATATCTTCAGAAATGTAGAAAAGTGTACCTAAAAAGTTATGAAGGCTTGACCACATTGATCAGAAATAAATCAGATTTAAAGCAATCCATAAAAAATGTTTAAAAAATATGGATGGATAAGTCTAACTCATCTGAGAGCTTTAGACCTACGCTACTCCCAGTATGAAACTATAGAAAGTGAACAGACCTTACACAGTAAAAACCTTACATCTACAAGGAATCACAGGGTGTACATTTTATTTTTTACAGACCACCAGAAGCTGGAAAGAGAAGCTCGTATCTGCAGGCTTTTGAAGCACCCAAATATTGGTGAGTTTTATTTTTGAATAGTATGTTTTTGTAATTCTAAAGCAAAACGTTTTGAGAAAAATCCAAAACAAAACTGAACTGAGCAACTGCTAGACCTTGTTGTGACCCTCAAATGCACAGTATCATTGAATAATATGATCCATATAGTACAGATCACCAAACATGAAAGAAAGCCTCCATTTTTCTTTCAGTAATCTTTTTGGTTATTATTTGTCTTATGTTTTTAGCAATATGTAAAGATTAAGCCTTGATACTATAACTTTGTCATTAAATAACAGTTTTTTTTTTTCAAACACTAGGAGCATGTAATGCTATTGTTTAGTTGTTATGTAAAGATATAAAGCCAGTTTTCTGTCAGGTTTATTTTTATACAGATGTGCCCTCAAAATGCAGGAAAAGAGTTTTTATGACACAATTGTGCACATAATACCCTTTCAAATGAAACTAAAATAAATTTGTTTATGTTTTGCTTTGATTCGATTTCTGACATACAAACATTAATTAGGAATGTAATGAAAGTAATTGATTTAGAAATTCCTCACATTTGAGGTATACACTCTCCTCTGCCAAAAGCATTAGCATGAACAGCTTCACAGGATTGTGTGTAATTTTCTGATTAAGAGGCCGTTCAAGGCTTTTCTTAGTATCTCAAATGTTAAATAATGCAGTTCCTGCTCTCTGCTTTAGACATTATCAGCTGCATTATTCATTCCCAGTTATTTTCATCCTCTTCTGATTTTGAGAGTTCTTTCTGACAGGTTGAAAAAGAAATGAGAAGTAACAACCAGTGTTTAATCACTGGGAACTTTGATACGGTGGGTCAGGGCATTTAATAAGGTCAAAAAGTGGATATTCTTTTTTTTTTCTCCTTTCAATGAACTTTCACTTATGTATGGTTAAGGGGATACATTAAACATAATATCCTTAGTAAAGAAGGCAGACCAAGTGAGGACCATTTCAAAGAACTGGTGAAAATTCTGAGGAGTCAGTGTGAAAATAATTAACAATGTTGCATAACAGATACATTTTGATCCATATGACTTTACATAGGAAAGTAACAAGCATTTTGTGTTCCAATGCAACAAACACAAACATGCATAGTCAAATCTAATTGCATTTTATAGCATCTGTCCATTTGCCATGCGGAATATTTCAAGTTCTAATACCTACTTTGTATATTTCATGTGGATTTTGAAAGCAGTTTTGATTTGTTTTATCGGTGTTTGGAAGACATGGAAAATGGCTGGCTTCATTCAGAGCAGTGGGAGAATGTTATCAGGAGAATGCCAGAATCCACCCACCTATATCCATGAGCCACTAGCAACATGTTAGATGAATTGGCATGGATGCTCATTAAATTCAGTACTATGCCAGAAGGCAGGTGCAAAATCCCCATGGCTCAGGTCTGTATCTGAAAGGATAAGAACATGTTTTTTTTACTAATTTCATTGCCAGTTACTTGGGGAGTCCATTACATGTACGGTATCTCTGTTTTCAGTGTTTGATCTCAGTTTTAGCCTTTTCTCCCATTTACCCTTTTTTAATATACAGTATATACTGTATGCCCCAATTAATGTCCTGTATGTAAAATTGTAGAACCTGAACAGAAAGTAAACAGATTCAAACTTTTCTTATGCTGTGCAAGAAAATACAGTGTATCCTCATTATTCAAAGTCAGAAACATTTAAAGCAGAAAAGTTCATTGTTTTAACAACTACCTACAGTACATCAACAACACCTTAAAGACAGAATCAAATAACAATTACACAAGCATATTGTAACGCAACGGGGGCTCAGGCGGGCGCCCTTGCCGCATCTGGTCGGCCCCGCACCGTCCGGGGCTCGAACCCGGGACTTCCGCATCTCTCTGCAGAGACCTAGCCCCGTGAGCTAAAGAGAGATCTCTCTACAGACCAGTAGCTGTAGTCCTGCTATCACAGGGAAGGGCGGTGACATCACCAGCTCTGGTACGCCGGCTCTTACACAGTGCCTGTCGGCCGTAAGCGTTACAATATATAACATCAAATTAGCATGACCTATGGAACACAAATTAATAATCAACAGGAATTTAATCACAACTTAAGAACAACAATTAATGAAAGAAAATAGGTTTAAAATAGTTGTTTTAATAGGTTTAAAACAATAACACCAGTCATTGCTAGTAAGCACATTAATATGCAACACAGAAAAAACTACTTTTTTGAAGCTGCCGACTTCAAAATATTTGATTACCTGTTGAGTGTACGTTTTGTTGTTTGAGTGAATGAGTGTTTACTGTTTTAAAATAAAAAGAAAAGAGGAGGAACAAAGTAACAAATTAAGTAAGAATTAAGGCATAGTACTGGATACTAGAGTGAGAAGCAAGAATATATCTTAAATAATCCAAAAACAATGCAGACCTGTTTTTGGACTTTAAAGTGTGCTAGTGGGGCATGGTTTCAATAGAATATAGAATAGAATTAGTCAGATAGAATTTACTGGTTCTACTGCTTTTCTACTGCTGTTCCATGGTACACACAAATGTCAAACTTTCACCAGCTTCCTGACAGAGCTTTATCTATTGTAGTACTATATAATTGTGTGTAAAATAAAATTTTATTGTGAATTAATGTCTATTTTTACTGTAAAGTAAAATTGCTACCATTGCTACCAAATCTTATGTTGAAGTCATACAGTAGCCTTACAGAAAATCGTAAACGCACTTGTATATTTCACCATCAAAGAGATTGGCACAATTGGTTTCAGAGGAAAACACATTATGGAAAGCGCATGAATGAAATTTTAATTGAGGTTGAGTTTTAGATGTTATTCACATAAGTTCTCATTACTACCTATGAGAAATTGAATCAGATCAGAACATTTTTGCAATTTCTCAGCTTATGGCATAGATTGATTTCTCTTGCTAAGAACTTCATAAATTTTGCCCAGTTTTTCATTAGGTCGGAAATAACTCTGCCTTATTAAATTCCTGAACTGAACTACATTGTGTAATCTCTGATAGTTGTCAGGATGATCCTTTTTTATTCTAGTTTCCCCTAAGTAAACTTTTTTTTGACTGTGTTTTAATAAGGTAGGTGCTTTATTGGAAGCACTGTCAATCATTTGTAATTAAGCAGTCTGGGCAGCGAAACTCAGATCATGATGAAGGGCAGAAAATTGAATGCTACATCAAATAACTCACACCGTTAACAGAAAAAAGATGTAATTAATTTCTCAGATGTTTGAGCTTTCTTCTTTACCAAGTAAATAGTGGAGACTTTCTTTTTTAAAGAATCTTGAAAATCCTAAAAAACATATATATTACAGTATATATTACATAATAATAATATTATAGTTCAGGTGGGTAGCCGTGTTAGCATGCATAGGCTGCAAAGGAACAAGTAATAGGTTTATTCCATGCTGAAAAGAGAAGAAAATACAACGTTTCGACTGTGGAGCCTTCTTCAGGTGGCATTCCATAATAATATTATGTATTACATTATATAATTTTTAACAGGGCAAAAAAATAGAACTTGACTTCAGTTGGCACAAATTGTAATAATCTGGGTAGTTTAAACCTCTTGCTTAACTTGAGAGATGTTTCAGTAATGTTACATACAAGGGACCAACTGCATTATCAAGGAAAGCCGGAACATTATGTGAGTTAAACTGTCAATTAATGATCTCGGTATCAGTTCTAAGCCTCAGACACTGGCTGTATGACTTTCAAGCAATTTAGTCACATTAGGGGTTATCAATCAATTTATCTACAGTACATACATTGTGTGAGCTTACATGTCAAAAAGCATGAAGAGAAGTAATGGGAGGTACTGGTACAGTACTGTACATGTTTCTCAATGTATATTTGCCTTTGAGGGGAATATTAAGGTAGTGGAGCCTAGTTGTAAATGCAGCTTGAATTCTCTTGTGTTACTTACACTGACTTTCTTTCTGAATATCTGCAAAACCCAGAAAACGCATGTTTGACCACATCAAAGCAGGCATGTCTCATTGTGTAAAACTGTAATCATTGATTTCCATGGAAACCACGACTACATAATGCACCGAGATAACCTGGGGGTTGGTGTACATGAGGGAGATATTACATTTTGTTCTTAAAGTGTCTCACACTCTCTCACAGAGAAGGATGTTACTGAAGAAGCACTTCTTTCATCGGCTCATTCAAAATTATGTAAGTCTGCAGAACAGAAAGAACACTTAATAGGACTTGCCTTCCTTTGTTCTATCATTAAAAAGGTGCTTAAATATTTTTATTTCAGAAGTTTTAATGGACACTGGGTATATGTGCATTAAGCAATACAATCAAAGAAGCTCAGTAGCCCGTTGTTCAATTGAAATAGTATTGCATTGTCTGAAATGCCTTAATCTGTTCTGGTTTTCTTTTCATTATTCACATGGGGGCTCATTTATACTTTTTAGCAATCATTTTCTTCTCCACTCTAAGCTTACACAATTCTAAATACCATGCTAAACGCACAACCATGTTATGAAAACTTGGTTATGGAGAACCAAAAAGAATATAGCTTCCTGATTGAATAATTGTTTTTAATTCAGCTTCAATGGAATGTATGGAACTGGCATTTTGTTCATCAAACACTAGGTCTTCTGAAAATACATAAGCAACTTATGGCTCGTAGAGTGAGCAGTTGTGTAACATACTGCAAAAGAAGCCAGACCTATAATTGAATTACTGTACACACAATAATTTCATATTTCCAAAGGCAAATCAAATACTATTTTTTCAAGAAGGTTTAATTAAGGGTTTATTTTCTTGTTTCAATAAATACGAAAGGATGCAACTGTATATGACAACGTGGGCTTGTATGTTGGATTTCTGATCTTCATTGTGCTGTACAGTAGATGGGATTTAGTGAATTCCCAGATTCAATAATAACTGAATCCAATTTGATTTAATGTGCATGACTAATCTTAAACATATAACTTTGTAATAATCAAAGCTTTTATATAATGGACCCCACCTTGAATATATATACAACTAA